TGAGGATTTTGTTTACTTTCAGTTTCGATAGTGTGAGGATTTTGTTTAAGTATTAGTGTTTCTATATATTTTATTTATGATCATTTTGCTAATGCTTATAAATTAACAATGATTGCTAACAAAAAGTATGAAAAAGTCAAATATGTGATTCAAATTCTGCTTGAAAAGGTAAAAAGAATAATGTATTCTAAAGACAAGTTTAAGATGTACATTATGTAATAAATAAATATTATAACATTAAATGGCACTTGGCCAAACAAAGATAAGGCGATTTACTTTTTGTTGACGCTAGTTGTTTGAAAGACGAAATGTGTCAATGCTTCCAAAGTGTAACTCAAACTCAAATATAAAATCCATAAAATATAAACTTGATTGAGGATGACCTTCAAATATAAACTTGATTGAGGATGACCAAATACACCTTCAAATATAAACTTGATTGAGGATGACCAAATACACCTTCAAATATAAACTTGATTGAAGATGACCAAATACACCTTCAAATATAAACTTGATTGAAGATGACCTTATACAACTTCAAATATAAACTTGATTGAGGATGACCAAATACACCTTCAAATATAAACTTGATTGAGGATGACCAAATACACCTTCAAATATAAACTTGATTGAGGATGACCAAATACACCTTCAAATATAAACTTGATTGAAGATGACCAAATACAACTTCAAATATAAACTTGATTGAGGATGACCAAATACACCTTCAAATATAAACTTGATTGAGGATGACCAAATACACCTTCAAATATAAACTTGATTGAAGATGACCAAATACACCTTCAAATATAAACTTGATTGAGGATGACCAAATACACCTTCAAATATAAACATGATTGAAGATGAACAAATATAAATTCAAATATAAACTTGATTGAGGATGACCAAATACATCTTCAAATATAAACTTGATTGAGGATGACCAAATATACCTTCAAATATAAACTTGATTGAGGATGACCAAATACACCTTCAAATATAAACTTGATTGAGGATGACCAAATACAACTTCAAATATAAACTTGATTGAGGATGACCAAATACAACTTCAAATATAAACTTGATTGAGGATGACCAAATACACCTTCAAATATAAACTTGATTGAGGATGACCTAATATACCTTCAAATTAGGAAGAGCTATAAGTTTGACTACAATGTATTAAGTTTTTTTACGAGTTGTTGCAGGAAGGCACAGACGGACGGAAAACACTACAAACATGTATTTGATGGTATATGTATCATTAGTTTGAGTGGAGAAGTATGAATATGTAGTCACAATGCTAATGATTTGTAAAACAATGTTTGGTAGAAGGCGTTCATCTACATTCTAACAAAAAAATAACGGGCAATAAAGTATAGCACGTTATAAAGGCTGATGAAAAGACCATATATAACATTTATGCTCACCACACTTATCAGATTCTTCATTCCTTGTTTTTCTGGATGTTGTGGTTATTGGTCTTGGTGACTTCTTGGGACTAACTACAATTAGCAACATTTTTTCATCTTAAATAAGTTTAAGTCCAATTTTGCTCTTCAAAAGCATTGAAATATGGGATTCTGATTAAGGTCAGTGAATATATTATTTAACAATATAAATGGAGTTTTTGATAACTTTAAGGTAAAGCTGTTAAAATGTTTAAAAATATAGAAAATTATGCCAAAATTTTAATTTTCTTTTGTTTTAATAGTAAAACGTCAATTCTTTTCTGCAATTTAACATTTACGGACAAGAAGACCTTAACGCAAACGCTGGCAAAAAGTTCCGAAAAGTCATTTCTAACGGCTTACAAAATTTATATAATTATATTTCACCTAATTTTTCGTCCGCCATTTGGGATATCCCGAATTGCAGTTACGGACATCAGTTTAGCCCCAGTGATGACAGAAAGATGTAAATACTAATAAATGTCAAGCTCGAATCGTTCTGGATTCAAGCTAACTATAAAATTGAGAATGGAAGGGAAAATGTGTCAAAGAGACAACAACCCGACCAAAGAGCAGAAAAAAGCGAAAGGCCACCAATGGGTCTTCAACACAGCGAGGCTCGTGACTTGGGACAGGCGCAAACATGCGGCGGAGTTAAACATGTTTTGTGAGATCTCAACCCTCCCCCTATACTTCTACATGTAGCCAATGTAGAATAAACAAACTCACAGCAATACGCACAGTAAAACTAAGTTTAAAAGAAGTCCGAGTCCTTTATATTTTATGTTGTATCAGAAAACATTTTTAAAATTCGAACATGGTGAAGCAAAAATCGAATAAATTTTGTTCATGTGTCATAACGATGCTTGAGTAACATATTCAAATGTAGCTTGATAATGGGAGTCATTAAGTTAAACATACTTACTAGTAACTATATATTGTGGAGTTATGATTCTTGATTGATGAAGATTTTTAAAGGTTTTTTCTCAAAAAATTAGTTTTAAACCAGAACGTTGTAATTGAAGTTTGATTTATTAAATCTAACATCTTGCTTTCTGCACTTGCTGCCCTGAACTGTTAGATATTGATTTAACAAGTCATCAACGGACAAATTATGTAATATGGTACTGACTGATTTGTATCAATTTCAATATATTAACCTTTATAATAGAGGTTAAACTCATTGGGGTGTATCTCAATATAACTTAAGCAAGATGTTAGATTTAATAAAATACATAATGACCTGGCTCTTTTTTTTTTAGAAGAAATTCACAATAAGCATATAGAGTTATAGACAAGCGGCAAGAAGGACAAGGGAAAATTCTAATTTATATTCTGCAGAGGATATGCCTAAAAGAACTATAGACTACATTCTGTTCATACTTTGAACGACAAAATTATTTTATTTCTACCTGTGTGACGTTTACATGCTGATCAACTGATGTACGTCAAACGCGCAATGTTTTGGTTTTCTAACTATTTTGATCTGAGCGTCACTGATGAGTCTTATGTAGACGAAACGCGCGTCTGGCGTATGAAATTATAAGCCTGGTACCTTTGATAACTATTAACCTAACCATGTGCCTGTCAGGGTAAGGAGTCAGTCCCAGTACTTAAAATCTTTCAATCCTTTATGGGTGGACATAGATAAATAAAATCGTATAATAAAAAAGCAATGAATGAGGTTGTTAAATTTGATATCTGACTTTTTGTGCTTCTTTGTTACATATTTGTTTTTTTTTATAGTGATTAAGATTATAACACAATGCTGACTGCTGTACCCCTATTTTTGATATTTTTACCTATTATGTTTGTTTGTTTTGTTCACGCATCGTTGTCAATATAATGGAATTTGATTCGACTGTCATACAAGTGCGAGGTTTAGCTAGCTATAAAACCAGGTTCAATCAACCATTTTTTACATAAGAAAAATGTCTGTACCAAGTCAGGAACATGACAGTTGTTATCCATTCGTTTAATGTGTTTGAGCTTTTGATTTTGCCATTTGATTAGGGACTTTCCGTTTTGAGTTCAGTATTTTTGTGATTTTACTTTTTGAAATGAAAATGATAATGTATAAGTGTCGTGCGTTGGTTGCCCTTCACTGGATTATCCTTTATTAACAATGCTCAAACTAAAAAAAAGTAAGCCTGGGATGTATATATACGTAAAAATGTTAGGAACTATATGACCGAAAGGGACTTGAAGTGAACTGCTAATTTCATCTAAGTAGATATAAGAAGATGTGGTATGAGTGCCAATGAGACAACTCTCCATCCAAGTCACAATTTGCAAAAGTAAACCACTATAGGTCAAAGTACGGGCTTCAACACGGAGCCTTGGCTCACACCGAACAGCAAGCTATAAAGGGCCCCAAAAATGACTAGTGTAAAACCATTCAAACAGGAAAACCAACGGTCTAATCTATATAAAGTACGAGAAACGAGAAACACTCATGAACCACATCAACAAACGACAACCACTGAACATCAGGTTCCTGAATTAGGACAGGTGCAAACACATGCAGCGGGTTTAAACGTTGTAATAGGCGCCAACCTTCACCCTACCTGAATTAATAGTGTAACATCACAACATAGAAAGACACACTATAAACTATCAATTGAAAAGGCATAACCCAATCAAAAGACATATTAACAAAAGCAAGTGATCATACACTCAACGAATAAATTTGATCTATGACACAATGTAAATACAAAATTAATAACACAAAGGGGTTACATGTATGTTACTCCAAAAACACACGTGTTGTGCGCACTGAAATAATTTCATAAGAATTTCTATGCTGTAATTTTTACCTTTTGACAATGATGTGCCTTCGTCGTTCCCTTCATACGGCTTGATTGTAAGTCCACTGACTTTTGCGAAAGAGCAAAAGAACGCTTAAAAATAGATAGAAATTATGTTTCTCTTCGTTCAACTGTTATGACGATTTTATAATTTGGTAAAAAATTGATCTTGTGTTATTACATAATGATACTTTTATAACATCAGGGATTGAGAATAAACGGTACACTTTTTCCTTTGTATTTAATTGGATCTCTATGCATGCATACACTTCCGGGTCTCTTGATATCGTTTTCGGTATTTATCAGAGTCAGCATTGCTCAAGCTTTGGTTTAAGTGCTACCTGCTGATAACATATTTTCATTTATTTATTTTTTTTTGTTATTTGTTGAATTGTTATACAAAAAAGGTAAGTGTATAATATTTTATTTCAACCTGGAATTTCACAATAACTGTACGAAATTAACTAGGTGCCTAATGTCCTATATCGTTTTACATTTGGCGTTACGAAGTCATGAACAACTGATGTTTTATTAAATTTTGTTTTCCGAGTCCGCTTACACTTTATCATATGAAGAAGGAAGTATCGATATAAAATGTTTTTTTCTGACGAAAATACTGCTCATCAATTTGAAATGAACAAGTTACAGGAATGACGTGAAAAATGGTTAAACAAATGGGGAATGTGAAAAAGTGTTAACATATATATAAAAAAAAAACGGAAAAATAAAACATTACCAATACCATTCAGTACGAAAACTGCAAGGAGGAGAGCCTGTGTGCGATTTCTTTTGATCATCTACAAAATAATAGAAATAATAAAACGTTTCATTATCCTTAAGGATGTTCGCTACTCATGTTTTTGACTTTTTGACTTTTTCGGAATCCTCTAGTTTTATCCATGTAGTGCCAATAAAAATTTTGCACGTTAACCCCTATTTTTCTTTTCATAATTTTAAAACATATAATTCAAACATCTATTTTTGAACATCTTATAAAATCCATGTTTTTTTTTCATAGTGTTTGAAATAAAAAAAGGTGTCAATGTTAAATTTACGAAAAATCTAGAGAGAATCTGAGAATCTTTTCCGCCAAATTTTCAATTAATTATATCTCTTATACAAGGATACGGACCTATTATTTTTTCTGCTTTTTAAGTTCCATTATTTATATACTATCAATTAATTACAGGCTTTTAAAAGTCTTGTTATTTTGAAGTAAAGAAGCGAAATCTTTAAAACAGAACATTTTACAAAAAGGATTTGTGTGGTAATCGTTTCTCGGAAGATCGAAAAACTTTTGAACAATTTAGAGTCTTTCAGGTAAAAAAAAAGTAATCTTTAACATTACGCCCTATTCCGTCTAAACGAACTGATGGTCACATATTTTGAATTATTTTTTCATATTCTGGATGTCTACTTCCTTGTTTGCTAAAATTTATTCATCATCTCTATATAAAACTTAAAAGATATGGTATATATATATATATATATATAAAGGCAACAGTAGTTTACCGTTGTTCAATAGTCATGATTCGATTAAACAAAAACAAATCAGGGTAACAAACTAAAACCGAGGGAAACACATCAACTATAAAAGGAAAACAACGGAACAACACAAACACTGAACCACAACAAAATCAAACGCCAACATACATAGAAACGGACTGTCTGATAACAACTGCCATATTCCTGACTTGGTACAGGACATTTTAAGAAAAAAATAGTGGGTTGAACCTGGTTTTATGGCTAGCCAAACCTCCCGCTTATATGGCAATGTTAAAAATACCGCTAAAATGACAACACCACGTGACAGGAATACAATACAAACAAACGAAAAAAACACTCAGCACAGAGAAATATATAAATAAATAGTATAATAGTACATTACAACTTATAAACCGCAGAATAACAACGGACACCTCCCATGAATTTACGAAAGCACACCAGGACACCACAAACGAAATATAAACTGCGCGTCATATGAATGGACCAACGTCACAAAAAGTGACGTATTTTTTGTGACGTTTATATTATCACAGGTAAATTTCTAAAAATAAAATAAATTTGTTTTATCTATAGACACATACAAGAATATTAAATTGGGTTTGAGTTTGTAATGGTGTTATTTTATGTATTTTTTTAACCATGTCGGTTTTTCTCTAAATCAAAACTGTGTATAAACAAAAAAAATCCTGTGCATATAGTTGCTTTGAACTTAAAATCATACAAATGAAGTAGCTGATTTTTTATCTTAACTTTTACATACATGTAGAAAATAAAAATAAAATATCTGTAATATAAGGCAAGATCTTATAAGGCTAAACAGTAAACACACATGAAAACACACAACATAAAACAAAAACCCTGTAGACGAACCACGAGTAACCCGACTATACTGACAAATTAGACATATGTGAAATGTACCAAAAATACAGAATTCAAACCACAAACGAAATAAACAGACAACAACTCAGTACAAAATGACACACCGGACCAACACGTATAAGAAAGTAACAACAAAAAGCCCGAAAGCGGGATATGTAAATACCGAACCACGTCGTCTCGAACATAAGACATAACAAAATATCTCCCAGGACTTACAAAAGAAACATCATAACTAAATACATGAATGTTGAATATATAAATACCAAAACACGTATGATTGCCAATGAAACAACTCTCCCCCAGAAAACAAATGACGTCGAGATTAGCAAATATAGTTCACCGTATGGCCTTTGCCATTAGGAAAACCCGTACCGCAACTGCAAGCTATGAAAGGACACAAAATGACAAATGTAAATTCAAACGAGAAAATAATGACCTAAAAGTTTGACCAATTTGATTCAAAAGTGTTATTTCTATAGAATACGTATTGCATTACAGTTCTTCTTAGAAAAAAAAACCCATTGAAAATAGAGTTTTTTCACTGGACTAAAAAGTTTTGTTAAATATTTAAGACCGTCTCAACCTTGTTTGTTGAAAAACAATATTGCATCTTTAATCTGTTAAACAGTATTTTGATTTGATTTTTGTTTTACTTTATTGTAACATGTATTTCTATTTTCTTATTCCAGAAATATGCCCGAAGCATTGTTTCTTTGATCGATAACGCATGCAATTTAAATGAAAATAAATTATTGCAGCCAAACAAACGCTGGTCCACTGGATTGTTCAGTCGTCCGTTTGTTCGATTTTTCTCCCGTTATCATGCACCTTTGATTAGCAACTCCTCATAACAAGTGGAAACTTAGTCCAAGTAGAGATTCCCTGTTGCAGTTTGAAGCTGTATTATTGTAGCAATCTAGAAAATGAAAACTCAATTCAAAACGTAACATTTATTCTTTTATATTTTATTTCCAAAAATTATGGTTTAACAAATTTCAAACTTTGTTAAACAATGCCCTTGTTTAAAGAAATTAAATATAAAGATTGTCTTACCGTGAACAGTGTAGGTCTGTTTATGTCGAAGAGAAATCTGGATGCTTCTTAAATATAAAAATTTATCTGACCTCCTACACGTTCCTAGGAATATGATTGGTTAAAAGCAATCGCGTGGAGACTGTGTATATTTCATTTGGGGTTAGTAGGCGGGGCTTATTTCAATACACGGTTAGTAGTGGTGTTACGTCCCTTTATAAAAACAACTAGGTGTTGAGGAAAAATTTGAAAGGTTTTAACAGATGAAGAAATTGATGATGAAAAATTGAAATAAATTCATAAAACACATTTAAAACTAACAAGTTGTTATTGTTGGCATTTGTTTTTGTATAGACCAATGGAAATAGGTTCTTAATACTAACGGTATTGAAGACTTGATCATTTTGAAAGGCCACTAGTCTAAATACCAAATGTTAAGATGCTTCGCTCTCACCCCATATGGAATTTACTGACCTCATATATATCGTATTAGGTCACTACCACACTATGTAACTAACAATACGCCCCACATGCAGGACAGCTTATACAGTTATAATCACTTTTCAACGTAGAGATGAAATACGAAGCAGAAGTGTGTTTTCATTTCATGGATAAGGTCCAGATAAAGTGATAGACTGTAAAATTAAATGTTTTATGAATTCCCTATATCTTTCAATGACACTTAATTAAACTTTATATTTGAAGTAGTGGTCACATTTCAGTAAATTAGTGCTAATGATATTTTCATCCCAAAAATTCCCTTACGTTGTACCTTTATAGCAATAGTATGATGAAATTAAGAAAGTTACCTTGCAACTGTTAATATTCACCCAAAGCATGCATTGACACTGAAATAAAGTATGCGTTATCATGCAAATAATGTGTTTGTAGCAAAAGTTTTTGTTCATGAAATATTTAGTTTATAAACAAGACATAGTATAATAGAAAGTGACAGTGGAGACTCAGTAAGAATATGAAAAAGAACAGAAAGATAAAATACAGACATTTCAAAGTTGAAGAATAAGCAGTTTTTTGTGATCAGGTACAGTAAGCATTACTATACTTCATGTTAGATTGCATGGTTTTTTTATTAGTGAGTACAAGAGTAGTATTCTACTCTTACACATGTGTCAGCGAGAACATTTTTGTAAATGATATCATCTCATATTAGCAAATAAAAACTTGCAAAACAAAAATCGATTATTTAAAAGTCAATAAAATGAGAACATTCATTATATTGAATTGAAAACATATAGCTTCAAGGGTGAAAGAGTAGATTTTACTCGGCTTCGTCTCGGTTGATAATATTTTTCTCGGGGTAACAATCTGCTCTCTCACCCTCTCGGCTTTGTGTTATTTATATATTTTCTTACGAATTTGATTCGTACTGGATTGATATTAAGCAGTTTTACTACAACTGTTAAAAGCACATATAGTTTTGAAAATTTTAAAACGAATAGAATACGGGCAATTAATATCACTTACTTTAAAAGTCAAATAATATATTGTGAAGCAAACAAAGTTTTATGGGACCTTCTTAAGTTGTTCGTGTTTAAAGTGATCATTAAATAGTTTCAAGAAAGCTGAACGCTAACAAAGGTACAATAAATATTCCTGTTTTACAGAAAGACAAAACAATTGAAACAATCATTTTTGAAAATTCTTTAAATCTAAGCACTTTGTTACTATTTTGTAACCATTTTTTTCAGGACAAATTTAAAATAACTTATTGACATATAATTCCTTCCTGAGAATATTTCGAAATACTGGTCCCAAATCAGTATTATTAACAAAAAATATACAATATCTCATGTGTCATAAGCTTTTATAAAAAAGAAGATGAGGTATGATTGCCAATGAGACAACACTCCACAAGAGACCAAATGACACAGAAATTAACAACTTTAGGTTTTGTTCACTTTATGTCTACAGTATTCTCAGCTTTTTAGCTGATAGTTCCACTAACTAGCAAACTATTAATGATATTTATCATAGTTTTCAAAGGCTTAACAAAACAAAATAAAAACAATTTGACTTTATACACTATGACAAAAAATAACAATTTACCCTAGACACAACCTTAAAGACTTATTCTCAATCAGTATATACATGTAGTATAGAGAAATATAAATAACACTCATTGAAAACAAAATACTCTTTACCAATTGCAAGAAAATATGTAAAAGTTTGGATCATTCCTGTTTTATATGTTATTAAATAAGATGAATTTAAAACTGTTAGAAAAACATGATTACGATTAAACTAAAGATGTGATTGAATTTATAGATAGTGTTATATCAAGTTTAGTGAATTATTTTCCTGCGACTTCTACTCCTGAATTGGAACATGTTTATATGTATCTTTTTTTATGAATTTGAAT